TTATACTAAGTTATCTCGATTAAAATTAGATGAATTAATGCCCAGTTAGAGTATTTAGCTTCTGTTTGAATCTAATGTATATTAAAATTTATAAAATAAAATAATAACAATATAATGTTTAATGATATTATATGGAGGGTATTAGAATGAACTTAAATTTTTCGTTGTTAAAGTGAATAGGAATATTTCGCAATTACATCTTCATTTTACTAATAAATATTAAAAGAACGATGCTTAAAGAATTTTGATTATATGCATGCAATATTTGATCGAATATTCATTTTCTATTGCAAACGAATAAGCATATTTTGCAATTATTATGTATGAGAAATTATGGTTAACATGGCCAATTTTGTATAACCAAGTTATTATCGTATATAGTCATTATTTAATAGAGAATTAACTATAAAATCATATTAATATAACATATTATCAACTTTAAATAATAAAAGTTGCTTTTTAACAAGCTTTAAGTAGCTAAAAATTAAAAATGGGGCAAGTTTTCCTTGTTTTAGCCAGAATCTTTCATATTAAAATTTATCTATTTTTAATTTACAAAAATTAAATTAAAATCCCATAAAATTATATCACTGATCATCAAATCAATTCCCAATAACTTAGAGTTTTGTAATTTAATAAAAAGGCTATTAACTTTAAGATAATAAAGTCCACCAGTTAATTAAATAAATACAATGAATCTCTACAGATATAAGCAAACCCCCCACTTCGGTCGCATCACCCCTCAAGCTCTTACCCGTTGGGCTCCCACTCTTGCTTTGTTCGGTGCCACCGCTGGTGTTGCCGTACTCTTCTTAGGTGAAGGCATTCCTTTAGTTCAACAAGACATCTTATCCAGAATCCCCCTCGCTGGTAGACTTTGGGCTAAACCCGATGAAGAATAATTTCTTAAAAAAATTATTAACCAATTAATATATAAAAATAGCTTACTAAAAACCCTCAAATCATTTTAGGAAGCAGAAAAAATGTCCAGATTTAATTTAAGAATTTTTCTTAATCTATCAATCTTCATTTATTGATAGCTTTTAAAAGCTTATATTAAGAAGATGTACACATTCTTATTTGATTCCAGCCACAAGATAGCTTATAGTATTACATCATTTTTCACAAATCATAATCTTACACACCCTAAATTTCCCGATCACTCAACATCAGTTCATTTTCTTTAAATTTTTAATATTTTATATATCAAAAATATTTCGTTTATAGTATAACGTATAAAAAGTCGAATTTTTATATTTTAAATTGTTAAGCTTTAATTATTAGATTCTGTCTTTATAGCACCAAATTAAAATTTATCAATTTATTATAAAAGCTCTATACAACTTAGAAGTGCTTACTTTTTCTTACTAATCCATATGCTTAGTTATTGTTTTAGTTATTAATCAAAGTTAAATACATAATAATTAGGTATAATAACATCGCTGTCACTTTTTAACTTTTATATAAGCAAATTTTTGGGCTTAATTGTTGTTAATCTGATTAGATTAGATGACTATATCACATTTCTATATTGAACATCTCACTGAGAACTTCAATTTAAAATATATAACTTGACATGTATCCATCTAGTATAATTTGAGCTATATGTGTTATCGCTTATTAGGTGGTCTCATTTCAGTTATGATATATTCAAAATAATAAAATGTATATAATAAAGTTTATGAAATAGATATACATCATACATAATGCTGTGTCTATTTATATACTAACTGGCCTGTAATACATCTATAATTTATCATAATTCCAATTAACATTTTATAAATTTCAAATAATTCTAAATCCCATAATTTTATTTTTATCAAATAAAAACATTAATAACGTAATTC